TATAATTTAGCTAAAATAAAAAATACCGGAAAGTATGTAAAAGTTATATATAACTCTATTCAGTTTTAATGTACCTACCAGTAAGCATGTTGTTGATCTCAAACATACTCTGTGCCGACCGCGCCTCAATGGCTTTTTGTAAATTTTCAAGCATGGCATTGTGCAGAGTGCGATAGTCTAATGGAAGATCAGGGGCTCCGGGGGGCCGGAAGGCGACTAACTCGCCTCCAGTAGCTGATGCGCCGCCTCCACTAGAAGCAGGTCCTCGTGATGCCTGTGCCGCTGAACTGCCTACCGATGTCCTACAGCTGCCCTCCAGTAGCTGCATTTGACTGATTTGACTAGTCGGCAGTGGACTTCGCGCCTTCGTGGCTTCACACAACAGGACAACACAAACAGTGAGGGGAGAGGAAAGGAAATGGAGATATGAAAAAACAGGACATAGATTTATAGCGTACGCATGCTCTTCTTAATCGACTTGTAACGAAAGAGCAACACAAGTAATCAAATGTTGCCGACTTGACGTAGCATATGGCCAACCTAATAATATCTTGCAACTCTGGTCAGGTCACGTGTTAAATGTATCTTATAATTTAAATTAAGCAGACTTTTCGATCCAAACAAATTTTATAGATGTACATCATTTGAATCGCTTCTTTGCAATGTCAGTCAACTTTAAAGATACCTTTACATGACAGAAAGCAATAAGGATGTAATCTTTGTTTTTCTCTCTTATGTCGTGAGCTTGAAAGACCCCTTTGGGTAGAATCAGTTTGTGAGAGATTTGTATATATATATATATATATGTACAAACTGGCCCCTTAACGTACGATGACTTTTGGTTATGAGTCCCACTTACCAGGCCTGATTTGTGGTACAAAGTGCTTTTTTTCCATATGCCGCTGTAGATGTATCTTCTGCTTAAACTCATAGTGGCAAAGGGAGCACTCAAATCGACGCTCCCCGTCGCCTCTGCAGAGAGAACATTCCCATGGGAAAAACAATGTTTGAGATCGATCCAAATGCAATTCCACAATTTATGCCTAGAGAATAGCAGGATTAGATGGCTGCCACATAATATATATATATACTGAGGCCTAATTAATATATTATTCTTTTCATGCTTGGTATCATTCATCAGTACCTGTAATGGTTAGCACGATAATGTGCTCGTAACTCGGCAAGAAGGGGAAATTGCAGATGGCAGGCTGAACAGGAATAAACACCTGAAAAATAAACAAAGCGGCAAACGCGTAAAACAAGATCATGGTGCACACGCGGTTTTTCCTAATGTAAAATCGGTAATCACTGACGGAAACGAATCGATGTATTTTATCCAGTTAGGCATCAACTAAATCTAGAAGTCGGGGAAAAACAGTCAAATGTAAAATATTCCAATAAATATTAAGAGTTCTTGCTTGCTCGACACATACGCGCCAGTACCAAAGGAAGGAATCATTCCGAAGTTCCGGCCTTGTGGTGGTAAGCGTACGGATATTTCCACCTTGATGTTTTGCCAGAGGCCAAAAAAACGTTCTGTTTTAACTTGTAATAATCTTAATTAGCGTAAACATATTCTGGCTATCAATTCTCGATATTCGACCTTCTGGTTGATCTTCCTTCTTCTGGTTGATGTAGGGTAATGATCTCTTTGTGAGAAGGTTATTGTTGTATTACCTATAAACTTTGTAATCACTTAATCCCATATCAATCCCACAACAGTGTGTGATATAAGCTGTTCTGTTTCGTCCTCTCAGAATAATCTGCAACATTTGCTAAAAAAAATTTACACTAAATTCTACATTATAAATGATGCTCCTTTCAAGAATAAAATTATCTAGCATCGTGCAAATTTCATAACATGTAATTACTTCTTTAGTCGACCGTCTGCTATCTCATGCTTTGGCAATCTCTTTATCTTGGAACCAAGCGGATATATTCTAGCATATATTAGATGTGACGATAGCAAGTTTTCTTCGATCGTTATCCTTTCCTCCCTAGTACGATATACCGTATCTTTGTATTTCGTTTCACTGCCGCGCTAGTGGTTGCCGCACCAACTGGATTAGGAAAAAACAATTGAGTTATAGAAGAACGAAGACGACAACGCTCAGAGCGTCTGTATCGCTTCTAAACAGAATATTATAGTTCCCGACCAACGCGCGAATCAATTTGTACAAGGTAGACTCTTGTCGTCATCAAGGACAACAGCAATTACTGAGACGGCGGCGGCGGCCCCAATGATCGCCGCCGATCATAGCGACAATATTGAAGGAATCCGAAAGATCCATAAACTTGCGGACAAGGGACACAGTTCTTGATACCGCACTTGTGTTACATACACGCACCAATTAACAGTGGAAATCTCGCTACTGGCATTGTGTTTGCCGCTGTATATGTGAAGAACGCGATCCAACCATAAAAACGTCAGGGAATCGTTGAATCGACAGAAAAACAGCGCCGACGAAGGAAAAAAATTGTCATCAACGGTCTCGTGACTATACCATGGAATTACTTTGCACTCAGGTTAAGGAAATTGCGTGCACCAAATCGGTCGTTCCTGCAAATGTGTCACAGTACAAATGAAAAATTAAAGATGATCAGGCCGAGACGCGCACGCAGCAGGACTCTGCGGCGTCACCCGATACGCGACGCAAGTGAGAAATACTGTGCTACTTGTTTTCTACGAGACGGTCACCCATACAATAAGACACTCTGGCAGCCATATACAGTTAGCAGTCGTAACGAGACTTCAAATAATATTTTTCGAAGAAATAGGAAAAGCTCTGTTTGTCAGTGTCTTGTGCCAAATACAATACAATGGAAAGTGTTTCGCGTCACTATCGGGCGGCCGGCAGCAATAGAATTCAAACAGGTCAAAGGGACCGCTGTTATTCCTGAACCGCTTATTCTTAATGTTAGCCTCATGCTTCTGTCTGCTGCTGATGTTAACCTGGACCACATTGTCACCCTTTGGTAACTTCGCAACGCTGGCGGCACCGACAAGAGCCAGCGATCCATGAGCAACGAATTAAGATTTCATGCGACCCTGATGAACTTGGCATAATTGAATAACGGTACTATTGTAATTTGAAATGGACTGCATATGTAGATGTATTCGACAGATACCCTGCCCCTACACAACGATCAGTTAACACCAAAAAAAACGACGACATGTGTTTCAGCAAACAGCCGATAGTAAAATAAACAAATACTGTACATTTTGGTCCTCGATGATGAGTGCCGCCCTTTGACTTAGTCAACATTGGCCACCCAGAGACGAACTGTTGGATACCGGGAAACACGACATGTACCATCCACAAGCTTATCCACGTGCACGCGTGAGCTGTTTGGCCTGCTACGCCGACCAAATACCCAGCAAGCTATCAAGCTATGGAAGTCAGCCAAACAAGCTCAACCGCAAATCGAAAAAGGCCCCAGTCTCTAGACAACGGAACCCGACAGCCCACTTGGATAAAGCCCTACGTTAAACCATGTGGCTGGCTTGGGTTTACGTCCAACAAAAGCGTTCCGCCTGTCTGTCTCGCTTTCAGCGGATACTGTGCCTTGTCCTGTTTCGTCTCTGGGATCTTCTTTATCTTTTTTTTCCTTTCTTTTCGACCGCTTCAGCTGATCCGGCAATACATATCCAAAGATGGCTACGGCGGCTCGTCATCGTCCGCAGAGCAGGACAAGCGACTGTTTCAACGTAGCGAGAGCTTAAGGAGCAACTGCTCGCAACGTTCAATTTCACGCTCACAACGTAGTCCCATTGAAGCTGTAGTCAAGTCAACCCAACGGCCTTAGCAGCAACACACAGCATCATGATCAGCGGCGACCGTGGCAGTTTGTTAATGGTCAACGGCAGCCGATATGTGGTCCACAGGATAACGGCAGTTAAGAGGCAACAGACATGATGAAATAACGGCCGACGCCAAGCAGGCTCACAAAGATTTGTCGCACTTGCAACAGAAAGGGTGTATGTCTTTGCCCTACCGATTACTTATCCAACCGAAGCAGGTGACCCCACAAATATAAAACTTTCGTACAGGAAGAACCGTTGCAGGAAGAGGTAATTGCACAGAAGCAACGGCAGATATAGCAACTAAGAGTTCCCAAAAATATTTGAATAAACACTCGTATTATTATTATTCTAAGCATCACTATCATCGGGTATAGAACAGAACAGTTTGGAAGAGCTGGTTCGGCAAAAGCATCGCCATTCGGCAGGAGGAAGGAAAAACCCGAGGAACAGTCAAGGTGCTGCCACTGAATACGCCAGCAGCCGCAGCGGAACTGCGACAATTGCATAAAAATCCTTATAGCTAGCTGAGCAGTTAAAACACAGCGCGAAAAGTACTGCACGTGCACGTGCATAGATGAGTAGACTAGAAGCATGACGGCTTGACGTCTATAGCGTGACGCTTGCGTCCATGGAAAGTCGTAGTAGGCTCATGTAATGTATGTTAAGCATAAGCAACTGGCAAACATTGGCCTGCTTATTTTGTCAATTAGCATTTAATGCGCAGCCAGGACGGGACAGATCAAAACGCCGTCAATGGGAAAACACCGCTGCGTCGTTTCCAGTAGGAATGGATGTTTTTAATAAAAATTATTAGTTTATCTTTGTCTTTCCTTTAATGAAAGCGTTGTTGTCCCACACTGTTGTTCTACTGTATCTGACAATAGGGTGCTGAAATAACAGCAGTAGCTAATGAATGCTACTCATGTTGAAGACACATAGAGAACTTACGGAAATATTGCCTCGTGACGCCTCATAATAACTGGTAAAAGCAGTAGCTTTTATTCTGCTTTTACTGTACCATATTATATAGCATATATACAGGATAAGATCAACATGAATTACGTTTGCAGTAAGATTGTTTGCCCCCTTATAATTTCCGTAAAGGTAAATTTGACTGTTTAACTTGGAAACAAAGCGAAGCTCAGTTGACATTTCTAGTAAAGTCGTTAGAATAAGAAGTTTATGTAAATTTATTTACAAAATAATTCTACAGCAAGTAAATCGTCCCGATACTGTATTGGTGATCCTACGATAATAAAAACATTGTTCTTTCCCCAAACACACATAAAAAAATATATATAAAGTTTAAAGGAATGAAGTACTTTACACCATCCTTTACTCTGTAGATTCGCGTTAGTATGTACGTGAAATCTATAAAGAACCTAGACCACGACGCCTCACATATTATAGAACAGCAATCACAAAAGCTGCCACCCTATGTGGATTAAGGATGATTTGTCCTACGATGAAAAGCGATTCTTGCTTACCTTTCCTGTCCTCTTTCACCGAAGAGTCGGTAGGTCGTTGAAGGCGTTCAAATCCACCGTTTAATGCGGCTTGAAGGATCAGCTCTGCGGGTAGAGGAAACATCAGCAAATCATATTTTATTAGCTAGGACAATCGACAAAGAACTTGCAGGTACTTGCAGTGGTGAGCAAAGCGTAGAAAAGGTAACCTCTAAAGGAGACTGACGAAAACGTTTTGAGCATGCAGCGTGCAATGCAGAAGGAAAACGCAGTAACCAGGCTAAAATTTTCTAATTTTATTTGTTCCTCATCTCTGTGGGGCTATCTGCTCGCGCCATTCCTACACTGGGTAGGCCAGGGAACTTCTGGGGCTCCTGACTCAACAGAAGTCCCTCATTTCGTTACCGAAGCAGTGGAATGGAGGTCGTTGGTAGGTAGACGGTGTCTTTTAGCTTTCGTTATCGGCCTCTGTAAGTGTTAAATAATTTATTTAGTTCAGTTTAACACATTTCATTACTATATAATTATTAGATTTTATTGATGGAAATCTGTTGAGGTAATCAATAAATTATGAGTAATTTTGAACGCTCAAGAACTAATGTAGCAAACAACTGTAAATGAAGAGTTAATCTGCAAAAAAAACTATTATTTCCTATAGGGAGTTAGGGTATCCCAAGCTCGAAAGCTTCATAATGTATCGACAAAGCTGAATTAGCTATCTTAAGTGAAAATATTTAGGTCACTTTCGTGACTGATCCACCAGTTTCATAAAGAGGTCCCTGGACGTCATTGTTCCGTGAACGAACTCCAACAACGGTCGATCTGCCAACAGGTACTATTCAGGGGTCGATTATCAAGCACCAGAAACATTGTTCAGAAGCTCTTTCGAGCAGAACGTGTTAGTGAAAGCTTTATAGATAATACCTCACCTGCTATAACAGGTGCATATATGTCTCATGCAAGCGTCTTGGAGAAGCCATCACCGACGATTTACCAAAATAGTGTTGATACACTTCACACGTAGTTTCCACTAACGAGTAACATGTAACCTCAACATATGTTTTACATGTAGAGAATCTGATGCTCTAGAATAGACGCTTCTAAGAAGTGAAGTATCCATCAACCAATGTTTTTATGTGTTTTCACTACCACTAACTGCTGAGACCACATTAACGATATCCGACGCAGAAAACAACACGGTTCCTGATGAATTTTCGACTCAAGTCGGTTATGATTCTTCTTTCTATTGATGTTTTGTATGATCTTTCCTTATTTAGCACATCGCTCGCTTCCAATTGGTAAGGACGCAATCAACCTCTTCACCAGCTAGCAGCTGCTAGTTCTGGGCTTAGTGCCACCATTACACCTAATAATCGAGGCTCTAAAAGACTGCTAATATTCCAGTCATGTGTCTGTCTGCGTGGCTGTGTATTTGATCGGCGTTGTTAGTGCCTTCCAACAACGCTTACTTTGCCTTCACAAGGTGGAGGGAGGAGTCTGGGGAAACGTATCGACGCTGTCAAGTTAGTCAGTCAAGCCAGGACAAGGTAGGTTACCAGGAGAAGCTCCTTCACCAAGGGAGAGTTGGGACAGCGTGGCTTCAATGCTCAAGCTGAAAGTCATCGCCAGCAGCTCCGACACGGCCACTTCGACGAAGCCAAGCCGGGCCGGCCAAATCGGCCTGCGAACTAGCGAACTTAGTCGATTCGATCGGGACCGCCACGTTACGGCAGGCTGAAAGAGCGCCCTGCCTGTTGCGTCCATTCGGCCAGGCGCGCACATTGCTCTTCCATCCAAGGACGGCTTCCTCGTCATCACTGACGGTGACTTTGGCCGGAGCCAGATTAAACCAATGATCTGCCTTCATTTGTTCCCCATCGCCCTACCTATTTAGCTTTTACCTTCCTCAATCCCAGCTTGCCTACCCAAGGGAAGTCCTAGCGTTTGCCAAGCATTTCCTCCTGCACCACCACAGCTTCGCCACGATGCAGGCTGGCGTCACTACTTCAGCAGCAGAGATGTGCCTAACGATGCGACCACGCTAGTCGTAAAGTAACCGACGTGTGTTATACCTATAATCCTTGCAGCATCGGAGACCGCCAGCATCACCACCCTATTACCAGGTGGCTGCCAGAACCCGATCGACAGCTCATAAGAATTAGCTACCTTCCACCTATACGGCAAAGGAGATGAACTTTCCAAAGGATTAGCATCATCATCATCTGTTTGCTGCCGGTGGCCCCACGACAGATGAAAGCGATCATGAAACAACAGCCGTGATAGGAGCAAAAGCAAGGAGAACAAGGCGAGATATTTAGTCCCTTTCCACGGACTACCTACCAACATCAGCGTAGGCAGCGTCATCTGCGCCTGTATTCTGTACCGCTAGAGCACAATGCTACTACTGCCCATACGTAGTGTAATCTGCAATAGTCACAGCCTTCGGAGTGATCTACAATAGCCTCCTGAGAGAAAGAACAGACGTCCCGTACAAGCAAACCGCTGTTATGCCGACAATTGTCGGTCGGAAACACGCCTGCAGCCCCAGTAATGCAGGGAGCAATAATAGCCGCCATTCAGCTACGGCGACCATCATCAGAATCACCACCAACAACCAGTTTATCAGATCAGCCCAAGCCAAAGCTACAACAGTAGTGAGAAATACTCGAGTCTATTCTACCAATTTCTGTTCCGTGATCGCGCGTAGTAGTAATGCTTCTTTAACGCACAGCGTTGAAGCATCAATCCCAATCGACGACGACGACAACAAGTCGTTTAATCCAAAGAGCAGCGTTAGCATCGTCGTGACATCATCACTAGCCTTTAGTCAATCGATCGAAGCTGCCGCTGTTAATGTTATGATATCTCCTCATCGTTACTAGCAAAGGTTGGCGATGTTCATGGTCCTGCTGTTGATGATCATGATAATGAGGCGGCGATGGCGCTGGAGCTGCCGCTGTCATCGTCGACGGGGTGAAGGCACTAGCTCGACAATAAACATCACTGGCCATAGCAGCAGTAATAGTGGCTAGGCTAAATAACCGGGTCGGCTTTGCCTAGGCCCAGATAAAGTTACGGTGAATTTGTTCCCACTTGAACAGCAAACGCACTACCAGCACGAGCAACGATACCGCCGTTGATGCCTCTACGGCAGCCACACTGAGCACATCGCCTATCTCCCACCTGCACTCCTCTTGCTCAGTGGAACTCTTTGGTCGTGAACCTAGCTTTCAATGATAGCCTAGTCTATCGGTAGGTGTTGTCTGAAGCAATCAATACAACAGTCCATTGGAAAACTCCTGATGAGGCCGCTTCCGCAGCTAAGAACCACCCGCCAAGCACTCACCTAGTGCCCGCGTCAATACAGAACATATTCGTCATCGCCGCAGGTAACATCCTCTGCAGCATGAAATAGGCGGGAGACCAGAATGGTAATATATTCATTTGTGCCTCCTTTCGGTCAGGTGGCAGCCGAACAAGATGAGGTGAAGTGGGGCGCTGAGTGGCGTGCACTGCTAGCGATTCAGCCTAACCCAATAAACCAAGCCATAGTGTTGTTATTATGGGCGCATGTGTGTTCCGAAGTTGGTTTCTAAGAGGAAGCATGTTGACTGCGCCCGTAGGAGGAAGCACAAGAGCACACGTTGGACCATTCGGGCTGGGCCTAGTTCGTGAAGTTCAGATAGTTGAATGCTTCTACGCCGCTCCCGGTAGCTGAAAGGAACAAAGGTAACGATAACAGAAGTTATATATATATATATATATATATATATATACACAATCGCATACCTATAAACGAACGCACACATGCACTTCTACATGGGCACAAAGCCTATCATGCTGATTCTATGAAACGCCACGGAACAACAGCGAGGTTATAAATTTATCTAAAAGGAAACGTCTATCTGATGGCATAACTTTGCATGCAACTAATTTTATTGTACTTATTCTTGCTTTATATATATATATATATAACTTTTGACCAATGTTTATATTTATGTGCATAAATATAAACATTCTAGCTTTTATCGAGCTTCGTGTGCGTCTGCATGAGTTTTATACGCACGATACTTTGTCGCATCCCGATTGACTGAAACTGGACTATTTAAACTCTCGAGCACCGACGCTTTTGGCTCCGCAGGTTCATTCTTTTGCATTCTTTCGAAAATAGAATGACAAAATAACAGATAAAAATGGTCCGAAATAGAGAATACGTGAGATTCGCTAGAAATGCACGACTAATACGAAAACCATGCGTTACTTCTCATGCGCACGGCCGGTACGACCGTTTTGAGCTTGGAACTTCCCCTACTAAATATTCTCCACATGGAAAACGTTTGAAGTCCAATGGAACACCGATGTTGCATCCGTTCCATAACATTTCAGATTTCGCCAGGTGATACCAATCAGCCTTACTAGTACGACTTGAGAAAGAAAAAAGAAAACTTTCCCGCTATAATAATATAATAATAATTTCCCGTGTTTAAATATGTAAAATGCGATAGTGGCGCACTTAGAAGTCCTAATCGCAACACCTCATTGGACCTAAAATACTGAGGATCCGCATTTCCTACATAGCACTCAGTTGGAGTTCAGCTTCAAAATATGAAGAATAGAATTCGATTGGATTTACTTGCATGGTTTTGCAGTTCTCTCCTTTAGGAAATATGCGCCGTTGTAAAAAGGCGCTGAGTTGCTATGTATTTATATCGAGAAAAGCCGTACGTTTTTTCTGGACCGTACTCGCGCAAGGATAACTCAATAATAACACAAGAAGAACTCGGATCCTACCGCTGGCTTCGCGCTCGCCATTGCTAAAGATGCTAACAAGTAGGATCTAATCTTAAATTACTGATACGCGTAAGCCATATCGCAAAGGCTAGGCGAGTTAGAAAGAACGATTCTTGAAGGGCTTTCTCGTTACTTCGAAATTTTCTCTCAATTTATTTTGAAGTACATATAGCTTGGCTAACTAATCGATGTTCGTGCAAGCAGCTATCACTATTGAGCGAATCTTCAGCGTTTGTTCCACACAGAAAGATAGTGTTTTACTTCACATGCTACGCTTTCCCATATCTCACTGTTGGGCCACGAACGAAAGCCTT